TCGTTCTCCATTTGTTTGCCAAACAAGGTAAAAGAAATGATTAAAGCAATTGAGAATGACAAGATAAGATAAAATATGATTCAAATACTGACAGGAGATTTTTAAGACCAAAACCACCCTGTAAGGAAAGGGAATTTTTCCTTTTTTACATCAATACTGAGTGTGTAAGACCGATTGAAACCTTTACACCGTGCCTTTGCTTCTGGTCGTATAGGGGGAACATTTAAGTAAATCACGGCTCAATGGTATTTAAGCGCCAGCAGGGCAAAGGACGTACGACCGCGTCTTTAAGTTGGCTTGAACAGGGGCATGTTCGAACCCAAACGAGTCTGTCACTATCAGTAGGCATGTTCAAACAAATGTAATCCCTTATTTTCTAGGGTGATTTTCAACTTTTGACGAGTGGTAGCTTCAATGCAGCCGGTAAATGACACGTTTCGAATGATACCTGAATTGCACGACTACGAAAACTTACCGTAGTAGCAAATTAGTCCAGCTAAATCCAAAGCTATTAGTCTTTCTGGAGTACCTCTGTCCATGAAAATTAACCCTGTTCTTAGCCAGACAATGCCACTTTCCTACAAGCCAGCAGTCGCCATAGTGAGGGTTCGCAATCGATTGATTATAAGCTCAAATCCTAATGCGGTTGATAGCATTTCATCTTTTCAAGGATGATGAATTGTAGCTGTATCACAAATGTAATTGTGAGTAAGGCAAAAGACTACAAGTTGTATTGTTGTGCAATAAGTGCCAAAAGAAGTGTCACTCACCGCCGTATTTGAAAGAAATGCCGAAGAGCGATATTCCAACGCTTGCACACTTTTAATTTCATTCATTCCCTTTCTTATTACGTGTATTTTTCTGCATCCACACTGTTTGCATTGCTGGATGCTCCAAGGCTGTGACGGTTAGCAATAATAGATAATTTTTTCGATAAATATATGCAATTAATTTATTAATAATTTCGTACTGGAAATGAAAGTGCTACTGGAACACAAATGAAATGAAAGTGCTACTGGAAATGAAAGTGCTACACGTACTGGAAATGAAAGTGCTACTTTTTAAACTAAATTCAGGCTTGACTTCCGTTCTTTGTTAAAATGTACATTGTCAAATAAAATAATATACAAATGATAGACGGGTGAATGGACAGTTCGACGGCCAGACTATCAGACATATAGATGAGTAGAAATATGCATAAAACGCTAGATAAATAAATAGACAGATTCACTGATAAACAGATTGATTGATAGATGGATGCAGAAAGGGACAAACAGATGCGGCAGAGAACAGAGTTTCAGTAAGATTTCTGCCGTTGGCTAGTTGGCGACTTGCAAACCTCAAATTTAAAGAATTTTGAGGACGTGGTTCTGCAGAGAACAAATGAAGGAAGTTCTCTCCCATGCTATAGAGAAATCGAATAGTTAGCACTGCTAACTTCATAGATCCCTTGGTCTCAGAATATTTCACATTACTCAACCGAGGCTGGTAAACTGAGTTTCATGCCCCTCGCGAGATTTATTTGCATTTGTATCGCCTCTTCTGAGGAATGAAGCTTTCTTCTTCAGAATTAGGAAAGATCCACGTCAGTGCAACTAGTGTAACTGCTATTTTGGTCACTGCTACATTCTTCTTTCACTCTAGAGTGTCCAGGTACTGAAACGATGGCGCTCTCAACATATTTCAAGAAAACACTCAGCCTCAGCCTCTCTGATCTTGAATTGCAGATGTGCAGTAAAAACAATAACGAGGAGAACCTTGATGAACGCCGTGGTTGTTAAATAACCCAATGCCGCAGCTACATCTGTAGAACATAGTGGATAGCGCTCATATTTGCAAAGGTACTGGGCAATTAGTATTTCTAGAAAAATTATGGAACGCGGT